AATTATCTGCTGTTATATTACTAATTTTGGGTATTTAAAGGATAAATGCATAACTAGGTGAGCCTGTAGTGTCTACTTAATCTCCATTATAGTAATCAGGCACCACAGTTTTAGATCTGTTATTTTTGTTACTGTACATACCCTTTTATTTTTCCCAGCTATCTTGGAAATGGACTAATGGCTGCTCGACTTGCAGCGCTGGGTGCTCTGGGCGCAGAAGGTACATAAACTTAAATCTGCTTTATCGCCATCACTTTGCCACTTAAGACTGCAGGGACTCTTGAGCGTACTGCACTGTCTATTCGCTCATTTCTGCTTCATCTAGATCACAAGATAAAGGCTGTACTTCCAGTTTCTATGCTAATATACATTTCAAGTTATAGCCTCAGATTAATCAGAAGCGCTTGAGCAAAAAAAATGGTGTGCTATCAGTGGCCCCGACCGTGATAAGCTTGTGTGAGGCTGTTGAACCATTTAGAAGATTAATTATGTGTGTGTGCCCTGCTAGGGTTGGAGTGGCAGGTTTTTAAAAGCTCCTGCCTGCCGAAGCAGTTCAGGGATGATTGGAGCTTCGGAGATCTTACCTACCAAGTGAGCGGAGACCCAGAGGGTAAGATCTGATCCAAGAAGGAGAGATTACATACAATTTGAACCAGTAACTTCAGCCAAAGTGATTCCCTCCCTTTATGTTTTAACAAATGTTTGTATTTTATTAGGATTTACATAAAAGACCAACATAAATCTTTAAAACCATATTTAATCTGATGACATTCAATAATTCTAGTGCTACCAACTGGCTTTAGAAGGAAAGCGGAAATAACTATTAGACTTAAACGTGGTGGCCGCATCATGGCCATGCTTTGGGAATGCTTTTCTTCAGCAGTCAGGGGAAAAGATTTGATAGAAAAGTTATCTGCAAGAGAGGCTGGAGGCTGAAACCATGACCCTAATCCTGTCAGAGATACAAGGTTTTGGATCAAGCTAAATATATATGCATGTGTGTGTGTGTGTGTGTGTGTGTGTGTATATATATATATATATATATATATATATGTATATAATGGACCAGTCAAAGTTTAGACCACACTCAAATTAAAATTCTGCTAGAATCCAATCAGTCTGAGGGAGTTTGAGTTATTCTATGAAGAGGAATGACCAAGTATTTCAGTGCATCTGTAATCACAGCAAAAGCTGCTCTCTACATGATCCACCTTGCGTTTGTGTTAAATCAATAACTTCACCTGACCACAACCATGTGGGCTAAATGACTGCATGTTTTAAATCCGAGCACATCACAGCTTCACTTCTCCAACGGTGTTCAAAGGGAATATTTATAATTTGCAAGACTTTCTGTTTTTTTTCCCTTAGGTCAAGCAGGATACAAGCTTTGCTATCAGGAAGTACTTAAGGTGGTGAAGGGGATTATTCATCAGCCCTACGAGCTCGAAGACAGCAACGTGTTCTACGCGTTCTCCTATTACTTTGACAGAGCTGTGGATGCAGGCCTTATCAGTAAGCGAGCGCACGAACACACACCTTCTGTCCACACCTTATATAATTATCCACTGCCTGCATGCTAGACAGAGGCTGAAAAATGTGAGTCATCTGCTCCTGTATCAGGGGGTTTGATGAGCCATAGTTGTGTGGTTATTATAGAAATTGCCATCCCGCTGCACGTCTGCGCTGGAAGGCCATCAGCTCTGTTATTAGTACTATATAAATGTGCATGTAGATGAGCTGTTGTAATCACTGTTTTGGCATTTTAAATGTATAATGACCCCCCTCTCTGTTGTAGATAATGTCCAAGGAGGAATGCTGCAGGTCAGAGACTTCAAGAAGAGAGCCAAAGAGGGTGAGACTGGCTGAGGAATACATCATTACTATGACAGATCTGCTGCTCCTTGCACTTGACATACAGCACGCATCTCAGTGGACGGCGAGTGGTTTCCATCTGAAACGCCGCCCTCATCCGTCAGCAGAATACAAATGACTGATTATCCAACCTAACAGAGATGATGTTTCTTGTCTTCTGCTCAGTGTGCAATAAGATGACCAAGTACCCGTCTGTCAGCCCGTTCCTGTGCATGGACCTGACCTACATCACTTGTCTGCTGAAGGATGGCTTTGGCTTCAAGGACAGCGCTGTCCTACAGGTTAGGCAGCTTTATGTGACATCGGCTGCAACATGAACAGCCTCGTTTTATGCTCCGTCTGTGGCAGTCATTTTAATAGGCTGGTGAGGCGTCATAAATGTTTTTATTTGTGGTTCAATTTGAAATGCAAGGTAGAAATTACACCAATGTAGAAATGCCTGATCATCCGGGACATGAAAACAGTCAGTTTCCTTCATCGTTATATGGTACTACTTTTCTTTGTGTTGTGGAAATATATTTTGGTGATTTCCTGATTTACCTTTTCTAGTTAACCAAGAAAGTGAAGAACGTTGAGGCTAGCTGGGCCCTCGGTGCTGTGTTGGACCACTTTCACAACCTGAAGATCCATTAAGGAGCAAATGCCTTCAATCTTTTCTCACCTCCTTATCCAGCGGCTGAGAAATAAATCAATCTGAGCTGTATCTCAGATGTCTGTTAGCTGGTTGTGCAGAAAAAAGGTTTTGAATTCTTTTTTTTTTTATATTATTTTATTGAAAGGAGTTCATGTTTACCATGAAATGGTACATGTTTGTTACAGTGTAGCTGTCAGATCAGCCACTGAGGTTTCCAGGTAATAGTTTTTTTTTCCCATCTGCAAATATAGCATCAATCTCAAAGCTGATGATGCCGTTAAAACATCTGTCATAATCTTTTTCCAACACTTCTTTGGGAGCATTTTGGTTTCATAACATAAGGGAGAAATGCTGTGCATACAAACTGCCATGACACGCATGTCAAAATAAAACTGTTTGCTAATTACAAATATCTACAAGTGTTAAAGACTGTGAGTCATCTTTTTTACAAATATAATGAGGAAAATGAGTATTGAACACCCTGCTTTTTTTGTAAGTTGTTCCACTTAGAAATCATGGAGGGATCTGAAACTGCCATCGTAGGTGCATGTCCACTGCCAGAGACATGATCTAAACATAAAATAAAATCCTGAAATAACTAGGGCTGGGTATTTTTCCGCCAAAGTCCTGAATTAATTCGATTTTGATTCATGCAGTTCTAAATCGATTAATTTTGATTCAATCTGTTTTTACAATAATGAAAGTGGTTCAACTGTGTTTCAAAATATCATGTATTTTATTTTTTCCTGTCACATTAAACACAAAGTGCAAACTTGTAAATCAGACAGTTTAAGCTTGAGATGTGAACAAAACTGGCTCAAAAGTGCAAACTTGTTTGTGAAAAGTGAAAAAGTGAAGCCCCACTCAAACAAGCAGATGTGACACAGCAGACATGCATGAGCTGCATTATCTTCACTGCACAAACCATATTTTCAGTGTTGTCTGTAACAACTAAGGGTGTTTTCTGGTCAGCCCCAATTTGTTAATGTCTTCAGTCAACCTATTGGCTATATTTGCAGCTGTCTTGCTTGAAGTAATCTTGAGTGCATCTTTCCTGCTCATTTGAATGTGGACGTCATGCGTGTCACTATAAAATGAATAGATCTTATTCCCTAGACATCGATTTTGCAAAAATGTAAAGGAATCAATTCAAAATCGATTTTTTTACCCAGCCCTAGAAATAACAAAGAATTTTGTTTAACTATTTATTTGTATGATACAGCTGCAATTAAGTATTTGAGTACCAGAGAAAATCTATGTTAATATTTGCTACAGTAGTCTTTGTTTGCAATTACAGAGGTCAAGCGTTTCCTTTACTTTTCCACAGGTTTACACACACTGCAAGAGGGAGTTTGGCCAACTCCTCTACTCAGATCTTCTCTCTATCAGTCAGGTTTCTGGGCTCTCTCTGGGAAATACTGAGTTTGCACTCCCTCCAAAGATTCTCAATTGGGTTTAGGTCTGGAGACTGGCTAGGCCACGCCAGAACCTGGATAATCTGCTTCAAGAGCCACTTGTTGGTTATCCTGGCTGTGTGCTTCGGTCATTGGCATGTTGGAACACCCAGCCTTGACCCATCTTCAATGCTCTAACTGAGAGAAGGAGGTTCTTCCCCCAAATCTCACAATACATGGCCTCGGTCATCTCCTTAATAGAGTGCAGTCACCCTGTCACATGTGCAGAAAAATGGACCCAAAGCATGATGCTAACCCCCCCATGCTTCACAGTAGGGATGGTACTCATCATTCTTCTTCCTACAAACACGTTTGGTAGAATTAGGACCAAAAAGATCTATTTTGGTCTCATCTGACCATGTGACTTTTCCCATGACTCCTTTGGATCATCCAAATGGTCATGTGCGGATTGAGGCAGGGGAACCTTCAGGGCCGTGCAGGATTTCAAACCATGACGTTGGTGTATTACCAACAGTAACCTTGGAAACGGGGGTCCCAGCTCCTTATAGTCATTGACCAGCTTCTCCCATATAGTTCTGGGCTGATTTATCCCCTTTCTTAGGATCAGAGACGCCACAAGGTGAGATCTTGAATGGAGCCCCAGTCTGAGGGAGATCGACTGTCATGCTTTGATTTTCCATTTTCTAATGATTGCTCCAACAGTGGACCTTTTTTCAACAAGCTGCTTGGAAATTCCCCCATAACCCTTTCCAGCTTTGTGGAGATGTATAATTTAGTCTTTGGACAGCTCTTTGTTCTTAGTCATGTTAGTATTCGGATTCTTACTGATGTATGGGGTGGACAGGTGCTGTTTTTTTTGTAGCCAACGACCTCAAACAGGTGCATCTAATTTAGGATTATAAATGGAGAGGAGGTGGACATTTTGAAGGCAGAATAACAGGTCTTTGAGGGTCAGAATTCTAGCTGATAGACTGGCGTTCAAATACTTTTTTTTGCAGCTGTATCATACAAATAAATGGTTAAAAAAAAAAAAAAAAATCAAACATTGTGATTTGGTTTGATTTTTTTTTTTTGATTACGTCTCTCACAGTGGACATGCACCTACGGTGGCAGTTTCAGACCCCTCCATGATTTCTAAGTGGGAGAACTTGCAAAACAGCAGCGTGTTCAAATACTTATTTTCCTCACTGTACACATCTTTGTTTATCCCACTGTGGCCATCAGTCCAGTGCTGCTGAAATAAACCGTGATGCTTGTGACGGCGGGAGACTAAAGCAGAGAGACCACGTCCTCTCCGTAAGCATGCCCCTCCGTTGTCATGGTCACCAGCTCATGAGGCTGAGAAAGGACTACCACTGAGTCTGTAGATCCTGCAAACGGCAAACAGAAAAAAAGCTAAATTAAGCAAGGCAACATTAGATCATGGTTAGTCCAATACTTTTGAAATTAATATGCAGTAAATATTCCATTGACCCCTAGCCTGTAGCTGTAGATGCATGAGTATTCACTCCCCCTTTATTCAGTTTAACTACACATTTGTTTTATTACACCACCATAAGTAGTGATTCATTTTGAAATTGAGAAAAACACCAAGATTAAAATCGTGGTTAAGCGTGCAGTGGTATTCCCTCAAGCATGATGCAGCTACTACCTCCATGCTTCTCTTATCTGAGCAGAGCAGCTTCTTCTAAATGTTCCCAACATGGTCATTGCAAGTAGGACTTCTTTTGGCTTTCTTCTGGATGCTCAACCATAAATTAAAGGTTTGTGGCTGCTTCCTATGATGCTTACTTAGCGTTTTAGGTAAACAACCAAAAATTGGTGGATTTCCCACTATGCCATTCCTCTATGGTACATTCTGAGACATTATCAAAGCCTTATAGGTTGTTTCATTCACCTAAACCCAGCTTTGATCATCTCAACAGCTTTCTCCCTCACCTGTCTGTTGTCTTCCTCAATTTTCAGGTCTTCAGACCACAAATAGACTCATTCTTAGATTAAATTACACACAAATAAATAAACCCTGGCTCTAATGAGGTGACCTCTAAAGGCAGATAGGCACACAGGGTTTTATTTTGGGGTATTACAGTAGAACAGGTGAAATGCATGCCCCACTTGTTGGACTTTCATATCGGAAACTTATATAGAACCATGAATACACTGCTGTTTTATGGTTCATCAAAAAATTTTAAAACAGGTTAGAATGCCTTGGAAAAAAAGAAATTACACTTTAATTTGACTTAAACCCATAAAAACTACTCGATTTCCTGCTGGGCTCAATAAGTGTCGTTTTTTTCTGCTTTTTACGTAAAAAAAAATTTGAATTTAAAGTTAAGGACTTGTAAAAATAAAAGAAATCAACACAGGAAGGCTGATTAGAAGCTGAATATTCTAGGCTGCTAAAAAGGAACAGGCATGAGTAAGACGCCCCACTGACATGCAGACTTTACCAGGACATTAGTAACATCAGCAGCTGACTCAGCATCTCTGACATCAACAGGACATTCATCAGCTCGCCCCAAATAAGTGTTTACCACAGTAAGGTAACACCGTCGGATGTGTGAACTCAGATTCTGTTTACTAAGTGTTATTTTTTTCCCTCCCCACATGTTTTAATGCCTACCTGGTGATCTCAGCATCACATGATGAAGATTCATGGGCTCCACAGCTGTTGTCATGGTGACCAAACTACCTCCATTATCACCATCTGCCTCCAGCAGGCTGCTTTGTGTTAGAGCCTCTCCTGTGGAGTTCAGACAAGGGGGGAAACTAACTTTTTGTTATAAATACATAAAAGAAAACAATCAAACTCTCTCCCTATTCAGAAAACAGAGGAAGTTGTTAGTAAATGCTTTGAAATATCTGTTCCCGTCCGTCGTTCTGACTTAGCCTCGTTAGGCTGTAGTTTAGTCCTGAGGAAAGTCGGTTTAATAATTCATCTAGTAAATGTGTTATGTAGAACACAGAGACTACCCCTCTGTTGTGTAACTGCATCTTCCCTGGCTCGGCTCTTACAAACCAACGACCAGCCTCTTCGGTGGAGGGTGACCCGAATAAATCTGTTGTTTATAATTAGAGCTTTGGCAGCGTTTCCTGTGGTGATTCAGCTGCGACGCTTCCCCGCTGCTGCTGGGGGAAAAAAAAAGAAAAAAAAAGAAGAGACAGGCGAGGATGCTCTGCTGTCATTGTTTCTGTCTAAACATGGATTTTCAGCGTCTTGTGCAGTTGGTCTGAAAAGTGGAGAGCTCTTTGTGGGATGCCTTCATCTTGGAGAGGAGGTGAAAACGATGCCAGTAGGGAAAAAAAGGCAGGAACAGATTTCCTAATATGTGACGTCTGAAGTACGAGAAAACTTAGGTTCCTGAGTGCATCCTAGATATATTGGTAAGTAAAGGTGAAAAGGACAGATCCCACACAGACTGAAAGGAGAGGAAACTGCAGGATTTTTTGCAAGTATGTATAAATATGAAGGGAGATAAACTAATGTGGAACATTTTTTTGATTATTAGGCTTTACTCCCTCTTCTAATGCCAAAAAATATATAAATTTTTTCAGCTTTTATATTGTCGTTTCACTGTCACAATTACAGAGCAATGGAGTGAAATCTGCTTTTAACCCATTCCCTTGGGGGGCAGTGGGCTGCCATTGTGTGGCGCCTGGGGAGCAGTGTGAAGTTAAGGGTCTTGCTCAAGAACCCAGAGCATCAGTCCGTGGAAGTGGGGCTTGAACTCAGAACCTCCGGATTCCAAGCACAATGCCCTAACCATAAGGCCACGCTCCCCAAATTAAATCCTAGCATCTATTTCTTCATCCATTTATCCACTTATTAATCTTTCCTTAAAATAACTGTATTTATCCTTTATTTCAGTAGGTAAATACTGAAATAATGGAGTATTTTTACACTTAAAATAAGATATTAGGCACTTGAGAAAGAGGGATTTTCTTATTTTACATGTAAGTTGTCTTATTCCATTGGCAATGTGTCTCATTAAACTGCTTAATTCAAGAAAAAAATGCACTTATTTTAAGAAAAATTAACCTAAATTAGATTTTTTCGCAGTGCAGAGTTGGGTTAACTCTCACAAAGACCGTCAGACATGCATCCAATGGATTTCCTTATATATTGAATCTGTTCATTAATCCAATTCAATAAATTGTTAAAGAAAGTTAAAGAAAAGGTAGAAACTAAAAACGGTCTGATTTAAAGCTCTATGTCTGGTAGTGAGTTTCTCAATTCAGCTTGAATTATTGCCATCTTAGAGGATGTTTTTCTAACAGTTGTAGCTCCAACCATTAGCATACTCGCCTATCACTGAGTGGGTGGGTGCGTACGTGGGTAAGATGCGAACCTGTTTCTCTGCTTTCATTGCCGAGCCCCTCCTCTCCGTGCCTCTTCCTCATGTGAACGTTCCTGCTGCCGGACTGAGAGAAGGTCTTCCCGCAGATCCCACACACGTGAGGCTTCTCACCTGGGAGAGACACAGGCGATCAAACGAGGAGCCCCTCTGAAGTGATGCCATCTCTTTGCTCCGTGTGATACATCTGAAGGATTACATGGAAAAACAACTGCTGTGCAGCTGCAAAACGCTGCGCCGCTCACCTGAATGTACGAGCATGTGTTTCCGTAGGCTGGAGTACTCTGCGAAGGACCGCCCGCAGCCATCTGCATCGCACAGGAAAGGTTTCTCACCTGGAAAAAAAGAACATTTTTAAAAAGCCACCTGACACATCTGTAAACACAGAAAACCAAATTCAACTCCTGCAGATTAAAGAGATCTGTTCAGTCAGGTTACTTATTATATAAGGAAAAAAAAGCTGAAAAATATTTATTATTTTGTGTTAATTGTCATGTTAATGTCATGCTCCTTACAGTAGGCCTGATTTCATACTGCTTCTTTGAAGAGAAAACCCTTATATTGGGTGTTTGATAACATGATTGCCCCATTATCATGGATTAGACACTAATCCAATCGAGCATTTCTGGACAAAACAAGAAATACAGATTTGGGGAATGTGTTCCAAATATCCTAGATTTTGAAAACCTCTTTTTAACAATGATTTGATTCAACTATATCATCCAAACAGGTCAGAATAAAACCAAAGCTTTATTTTCTGCATGAGGTCTTTTAACTAATCATTAGAAAATCTGGGGAATAAAACTGACCATCTGAGATGTAAAGGTCACCCTGAATTTAGTGAAGCAGTGAAATGAAGGCACCAGGACTGCTGACTCATCAAATCTGCAGTCTTATTGCACCAAGGAAGCGTTCCAGCGGTAAATCACCTTTCGTTATCGCCTCCAGCAACTCATCAAACCTTCACCTCCTGTCCTTCCCACCTGTGTGTATGCGCCTGTGGTTCTTCAGGTTGCCAGCTGTGGTGAACTTCTTGCCACAGTTCTTCTCTTTGCATATGAAGGGCTTCTCGCCATTGTGAGTCCTCATGTGAACCTGTAACCTCTGCAGCACGTAGAAGCTCTTCCCACAGCCTTCTGCGCTGCACTGGAACATTCGGTCGTTCCTGGAGAGGAAGCAAACAAATAGAACCAACGGATGCATAAAACTTAGCAGTTAGCAAGAACTGCTCCTTCAGCTCTACCTAATCCTCAGCTGACTGATGGCTCTAAACACTGAGGGATTAGCGGCGTCTATTCTATTATTCAGACTCAAAAGAAGGCGCATGGAGGATGAAATTGTTTACATTTTGTCATATAACAATTGAAGATTTAAATTGAATTTATTCAGAGTTTCTCACACATGGGAAACCTCTGTCTATGTCAGAGTCTGTCAACATGTTTTGGAGCAGATCCCTGGAGTCATTTGAGGAGTAAAAGTGAAGGCTGCAGTTTTCAGGCACCACAGAACAGCAGATCTGAGAGGTGAAGTTGGTGTCACAAAGGTCTGCTGTCTAACCGGTAATACTGGTTTGCTGCTGAGGTGTGACGCCAATAATTTGCTAAAAAGTGCTTTTCTAACACTGTTCATGGTAACATTTATAGTTTTTCTGCACACCTGCTTAACTACACCTTCTTAAGCCATTCTTTGAATTCTGGGTCACTTTAAACCCAAAAGAATAAAGTAATTAATTAAACTGAGTAATTAAAACTCATTATTTTTAAACACTCAAACTCAAAAATATTAAAGTAGTTCTTGTTTTCCAAGTAAATTTGACTATTGAGATTAGTCTGAATTATATGTGCATTAACTGAACAAACTGAACTTTAATGATGAAGTAGCAGATTTTCACAATCAGACCCGATTGGATGATAAGAAGTGTTTAATGTTGTGCCATAGGGGATTATTGTAATGCTTACATTTAATAATTGCAGGATTGTTTAACAACATTATTTCCACACTAAAGCCTGATTGATAATATATTACAGAAAAAAAAAGGGTTAATGTCCCACTTATGTTAAAGAGGCTCTATACTACTAAGTCCAGTTGACATATGACTGATATATAAATAGGAAATAAAATTAAATGTAGAAAGTTAAGTTCATGGAACAAAACTCTACATTAAAATGCAAATACCCATGTTACCTTAGCAAAAAAATTAAATGTACTTAATTGGATTTTTCTTTTTAACTCAATAGTCTGATTTACTAACTAGTTTTACGGGAATAGCTTTCCTCATATTATTCAAGTTCAATTACTTATCAAGTGTTATGGTGAACCAAAGTTGTGAAAACTTACATTTATCCACAGTAAGGTTCAAAATGACTCTTTATTTTTAACATATTAGGGCAGAAAAGCTCAAGTTCAGTCCTCAAGAGCGACCATCCAGCAATTTTTTGATGCTCATTAGTGTGCCTCTGCTGAGCTAAATGAGGGGATTGAACCTTTAGATTCAGGTGTGTTAGACTGCTGGGCCCCTGGCAGAGCAGAGTGGGACAGAAAGAGACTGAATAAACTGGTGAGAAAAGCCACTTGTGTCCTAGGCTGCACTCTGGACTCAGTGGAGGAAGTGGCTGAGAGGGGGGTGCTGTCCAAGCTCACATCCTGCATGGAAAACACCTTCCACCCTTTTGCACCAGGCTGTAGAGCAGCTGCTTTAGTGAAAGACTTTTACACCCTGTTTGTAGAAAGGAGCTCTACTGCAGGTCATTCATCCCCCTGCAACCAGACTCTACAATGCAACACTACAACGGCAATAACTTGTGCAATGTATAATGTGCAATTACCATTTAATACCCTGTGAAATAACTGTATATATATAAATAAAAATATCCATCTATATAAATACCCTGTGTAATAACCCTGTATAAGCAGTGCCTTGTGAAGTGCCTTGAGATGCCATGTGTTGTGAATTGGCGCTATATAAATAAACTGAATTGAACTATAATAATCCTCTTTATAAAAAAAGAAAAAAAAATGTATATACCCCCATGCACCTTTTCTTCATTTGGCACCTCCTTCTTTTTGACTATTTGAACCGATGTAACGACTACATTTCTCCACTGTGAGATCAATAAAGTCAATCAATCAATAAATCTGAAGTGATTGTCTGTGAGAAACGCACAGCAGATCAGCCAGCAGAACCAATCCAGTCCATCAGATCTAGCTCAGGTCACATTTTATAGGGAAATGAACTTGAAACACAAAAGTCAGCATTAATGGAAAAGTCGGAATATATTGATGGGGTGACGAACAATTTACAACTAAGTTAAATTCTTTTTGTTACCTTTTACTACCTTTCAGTGGCCTTAATTTCAGTTCATTTCATTCACTACCTTTAATTATTAAGTAGAAATCCTGGATTTTCAATGGGGAACAAGTCTTTACTTTGACTAGACCATTTTAAATACACAAGATGTTTTGGATGCAAATCATTCTATTACAGCTTTAGTTGGATATCAGGGTTGATAGTCTCGCTTGAATGTAATAAAGCATCATTTTCTGCTACTTTCTGTAATCCTATTGTAATGGTCTTGGTTCTGTTATGCTTTACTTTGCTCATGTTTTCTATTTTTATTGGTTTAATTCATATTTTGGCTATGTTCACACTGCAGGCCTTGATCCTCAATTCCGATTTTTTTTTGTGAAATCCGATTTTTTTGAGTTGCCGTTCATATTTCCAAATATATGCGACTTGTATGTTTGAACTGCAGTCATACAACGCAAGCGTCCGGCATGCACTGTAGAGGATGCAATGACATCACAGCTCTGCATGCTCTGCGTTTACGGTTTGCTGGCGCACATCTAGCAATCTTTTCCAACCATAAAAACTCAATCTTTTCAGTATGGTTAAACATAAATACTGCTCTCTGCATCATCGTCCAACATGGTTGTTGTTTTTCTTGCCATTTCTGCGTAGCAAGATGTAGAATAGTGACCTTTGTCGGGTATTAATGGTGTTCAGGTTGGATGAATGTGACCTGGCCGTTCAGACACAGGTCGCATTTGAAACAGGCTTCCTACAGCATAAGGCAAGTTAAATTCAAGACTTTTTAAGACTTTTTAATGCCACTTAAAATAAAAATTTAAGACCAAATTCAAAAGAAACAGAAGAAAAACCTGCTTGCGACAACTTAACCCAAAGGTTTATTTTAACATAACCCACTGCATTAATGTTTCAAATTTTGAAAAGCTTCCCATACAGGAAGAAAGCTAAAAACACACAAATGACAGATATATTT